TTATCACAGGAAATGCTCTCTGTTGTACCAGAACGTTCCATAACTTGTTCTGTAAGGCTGGTCCTGCATAGAGGCAATCGTTCAGGGATGGAGCTTCGGGTGATTCTCGGGCCGAGGCGTCATATACAATCCTCATTTTGGTCGTCTGGGCTGATTCTCTGACTACGTATCTGTGTGGAATGTAGAATTCCTTTGCGTTGCTTCCGCTCACAGTGGGGGGTGGGACTAGGTCACTTCCGGTCACCACGGGGAGTGGAATAGGGTCGCTTCCGGTCACCACGGGAGGTGGAATATGGTCACTTCCGGTCATCACGGGAGGTGGAATGGAGTCACTTCCGGTCACCACGGGAGGTGGAATATGGTCACTTCCGGTCACCACGGGAGGTGGAATAGGGTCACTTCCGGTTACCACGGGAGGTGGAATGGAGTCACTTCCGGTCACCACGGGAGGTGGAATAGGGTCACTTCCGGTCACCACGGGAGGTGGAATGGAGTCACTTCCGGTCACCACGGGAGGTGGAATATGGTCACTTCCGGTCACCACGGGAGGTGGAATAGGGTCACTTCCGGTTACCACGGGAGGTGGAATGGAGTCACTTCCGGTCACCACGGGAGGTAGAATAGGGTCACTTCCGGTCACCACGGGAGGTGGAATAGGGTCACTTCCGGTCACCACGGGAGGTGGAATAGGGTCACTTCCGGTCACCACGGGAGGTGGAATGGAGTCACTTCCGGTCACCACGGGAGGTGGAATAGGGTTGCTTCCGGTCACCACGGGAGGTGGAATAGGTCACTTCCGGTCACCACGGGAGGTGGAATAGGGTCACTTCCGGTCACCAAGGGAGGTGGAATAGGGTCACTTCCGGTCACCACGGGAGGTGGAATGGAGTCACTTCCGGTCACCACGGGGGGTGGAATGGAGTCACTTCCGGTCACCACGGGGGGTGGAACTCTTTCGATGATCCCCTCAGCGAGTTGTTCTTGTATAATGCCGTCGTACTTCTCCATCAAGTTTTCGCGTTGAAGTCTTTTAGTCAAACCTCCGAGTCACTTCAGGCTACCACGTTCATTGTTTGGAAGATAGGGATGGTTTGGTTTCCAAGGTAACGCGGTCTCGTACCATTCCTCGGGAGATCGGGTCAACTGTTCCTTAAACTCGTTAAATACCACCATCTGGTCATGTTGGGGGGTATCTTCGAGCCCTAAAACGTCCAGTCTACACAATTCCTCGTACTCGGCGTGGGAGGTCTGGGTCATCAACATCACGTTGCTTTCGAACTCGTACCCAGGGCCCATTAGAAACCAACCAAACTTGGTCAACTCGGCGATAGGGGCTTTCTCGTCTCCTATTCTCGGTCTTGTTTGCGTTTTAATCTTCGCATACTCCCCGCTCCCCAAAATGACATGGACAGGCAGGGTATCTTTGACGTCATCGTCGTTCATTGTCACGCCCGTTAAGTGGGGGTGTTGATTGATTAATTTGGGGTATTTGGGATTGTCGATCAACAAAAGTTCACTCTTGTTTACCTTTGTAGCTCTTACGGGAAGACTAAACGAGCCGTCTAGCGAGTCAAATTTCATATCGTAAATCTCGAGTTTGGACGTCTTAGAGGCCATTAACATGTCAATGTTTTTAATCTGGGATTGTGATGGTTTCAGTTTGAGTAAGTCTATCAGTTTTGCTGACACGTAGGAGCTCCCAGCTCCCGAATCAATCAGCGCTCTACATCGAATTCCATTGACTTCTACAACGACTACTGGAAACACCGCTTCGCTTTTCTGGCATGTAGTCATGGCAGCGTTTGAATTTTGGCCAGAAATTTGACCACCGGCCTTGTTGTCGTGAGAATCACAAATAGACGTGTGATGTCTCTTTTCGCACTTCCTACAAGTGGCTTTACTCGGACACTCAGAGGCTTTATGATTGCCCGCGGCGCAATTAAAACATAATCGTTTCTTGGCTAGTATCTGTTTACGGGCTGACGTCAGAGTTACTTTTGCGCAATCGTTTGTTTTGTGCTCGCCGCTATCGCAATAAACGCAATTACGTGGATTTAATCTCTGACGAGAGACATGAAACAGTTTGTCTCTTCTCCTGCTGCTAAACGAGTCGTCGTTTAGTTCAGATGGTTTGTCGATTGGATTTCTTCGACACCACTGGTTGAGCGCTTCAACTAGTTTGGTGAAGGTCCATTTCTCCCATTCAGGGTCCGTTCGCACCAAATCTCCACGAATGCTAGGCAGTTTATCAAGAGTCATTGGCACGGCGCCATTGACCCCGTCAAGCTTGTCCAATGTCTCTAAAGCTTGAACGCAGTACGACAATTTGTCGCTAAACTCATGAATCTTTTTCTGATTGGCCGCTTGTATTGTGGGCAACCCAAGTATCTCGCGCGTGTAACCCTTTACTATCTCGGATTCTTTCCCAAACTTATCCTTCAGGATGCTTATCGCTCGATTGTACCCTTCGCTGTGGAAGGGCAATGCTTCGATTGTTTGTCGTGCTTTAGGCTCTAACAACTCGCGAAGATAAGAAAACTTAGTCACCGGGGCAATTGCGGATTGATCAATGTTCTCTGAGAATTGTCCCCAAAACCTTGGCCAATCCATAGGAGAACCATTAAATTTCGAAATCACTAGCTTCGGTAATTTCGCTTGCATTCCAATCATAGTTTTACTGGTCTGCGAGGTGTTTTTAAGAATATGTTCATCTTGTAACTTTACTTTAGTTTCATGCAGTTTTACCTCAAACTTGATCTTCTCGTCGTTCTCCATCTCCTCTAGTTTCCTCTTGTTTTCCGCCAACCATTCCTTCGTCAGTCTTACATGACTATCTGCCTCGCTGATTTTGGTATCAATCTCCTCGCTCCACTCGGTAGTATCCTCTTTTCTGCCCAGTTTTTCAGCTTCAACCGTAAGCCTTAGATTTTCCACTTCGCCAATAACAGTTCTGAGTGTTCCCTGATGTCGAGCAATAGGCTCTTCTTCGGATTTTGCAAGAATTCCGTCCGTGCGCTTCGTCGTTAGTTGCAATTGAAATAATTTTGTTTCCAGCGCGGTGCTGGCGTTTGTCTCACTCATTTTACGATCCCGTCGGAGGTGCCAGGTTTAGTAAATTGACCCTTACTAAAAGGTATTGAACAATCAAACTCTCGACGAAGCAAATTCTGTTTTATAAAATTATATTATTGAAAATCACTCACAGTTGTATACGTGGTCTAGTCTCTCTCACAGTCACACAGTCACTACATTCCTATCTTTTAACTCCTCTTCATAATAATATAAATGTGTCAATCATGCAATGTTCGTCCCTAATTAAAGTAATAATTAATCCTGCTATTAAATCACAAATATTAAGATATATATAGACAGTCTCCGACATATATATATATATATATATATATATATATATATATATATATATATATATATATATATATATATATATATATATATATATATATATATATATACAACATGAGAGGCCGTGGTGTATCAGATATACAAACTATCGCCTTCGGCTCGAGTTTGTATATCTGATACAACACGGCCGCTCATGTTGTAAACATTACATATAAATCATTCAATGATTCATCAGAGCTCATATAACAACATATATACAGAGATTATCTAAAGTGCGAGTTACGAGTATATTGTTAATTTCTAATAACATCGGGTTTAATTTTAGCCCAGGGTTAACACTAACACTAGCTTTGAAGCACCGAACCAGGTGTTTACACCTGTGGTTTACACTAAAAATTCAAATTGAAAACTGTATGGCATTCTGGCGGATGGGATTTTAGATTTGTCTCAATTTGGCGCCAATTTTCAGCTTTTGAAATAAACATTCATTGCATTTATTTTTATACTTACAAACTTGTAAATAGCAATCGTTTTGATATACTGATGGTTTTTCCCCATGTTTAGATAAAGTTTATGTATGTATATGTATGTCTATGTATAAATTGTATAAAATAAATTGTACTTCCGATGAAAAGGACTTGATTTAATTTTATAGGGTTCCCACCGTTCAGTATATATAAACAAACTGAGTCAGTGTCTGGTCATACTTACTAATAAAATTAAATAACCATTTTAAGATTAGAAAGCACAAAATGGTCTGGATAACTACTAGATTTAATTAAACACAGAAACAGCAAATATAAACTTGCACTTTTATTTTCAATATAATCATTTTAATTCTTGAGCATACGTATCGATGGACGTAACAAAGTAAACGAACAAGAAAAGGCCGATTTATGAAACAAAATTAATATTTATGAAACAAAAACCCTTCGACTTTGCCTTCCATGTCGTCCATATTAATATACTTTCAAAGCCTAATTCGAAGCGAGGCTAGCGACTCGCAACTCGCAGCTCGCAAAATAGCTGACCCCTATATACATTATGGCTTGAAATGAAGCAACATGTAATAGTATCTGAAATAAAACCAAATCACATATTATTCAAAAGTTATAAACACTGTTGCATTTATATGCAACTTGCATATAACAAAGTAATGAAGTATCGTCGCATTTGTAAACTAACTATAAATTAGGCCAATTGAAACTCGACTATGAAGAATATCAAAAACTAAAGGTCATGTTTCAGTTTATAAACCCAGACTTTAGTTTTATAAATCTAAACATTAACGCTATACGAAGCCAATGAAGGCACATTGATTTTGCCCTAAATACTCGGTCAGAGCCTCAGAGGTGTGTTCTAGTACACAATTAATCTTCTCTCACAGTTTAAAGTGTCCCTGTCACAAAATGAGAGTTTATATTTTCGAAATCTATGATATAAAATATACGGAAATTCGAAAACGGAATTGAAATTGCTTTTTTTAGTGTAAAAGTTATTGCCGTTTAAACATTGAATTTGGCCTTGTGAAAAATATGAAAACCGCGAAAAAGGGACAGGGAAGAAAAAATGCGTGTGACGTAATAGTAGGAACTTATGTAGCTCACTAATATAGAAATACTATTGCATGTACTACCATATAGAGGAGGCAATAGCGCAAATAAAAGTCACGAAACTGAAAAATTGCCGAATATATGTGTAGTAGGCGGTTGTTCTAATGTCACAGATACAGAGTAAGGTATTTCACTTCATTTTATACCTTTTACTAGAGGCGAGATGCACGAAGCGAAACGTACACGGATTGACTTCCTCGTGCACCTTAAACCAGCAATATGAGATCCGATGTTCAGCATACTTTGCGAAGATAGAGCTTGCTGGTAAAACCACGGTTAGCTACCGACGAAATTGGTTTCGTTGCAATTCCAAAATATACAAATACTGTCGACAACAAACCTTTGTCTGCGAGAGCCAAGAGAATGGTATATGTATAATTTATACTCTAATTTCGTTTATCATGCACTTGAATATGGCCTAGTGCAATTTTTATTCCAAATTCGTTATTTGAATAGGTTGTATTTAGAAGCTGCTTCGATAAAGTCAACCGATGTGGTCATAGTCACGAAACTGGAAAGCGCGATAAATATAAATGAGCCATAGCCAATGGATTCACCAGAAATATAAAATATCGCGACAATATAGCTATGACTATGAGTGAATATGGTCAAAATATAGCTGATGAAAGCCAATTTCTTACGTCTACAAGCAATGTGCACTGTTTGTATTTTAGTTTAGACAGGGAAAGTAGAATTGTACGTATAAGTAAACTTGACGCAGTAAATTAAACATATATACACTCGTTGTGTTTGCCCCGCTGTGAAAACCCGTACAATATGCAGATTTTGTAACAAATTGTGGCATGAAACCAGATACACTGCGAGGGTGTATATAAAATGTATTACAAAGTATAATCCATTGAAGCAACTTAAAGTGCATATGACATTAATACCATTTTTTCACCAAAAATCAGCAAAAATTAGACAATTCGAACGATATATATCATTCCTTGATCGGATAAATACTTCCAGAGATAATTTAGATCAAACAGGCAAAAAAATATGGGTTTTCAAGACCTGGCCGCACTGTTATTTTCGGGGTGTTATTTTAACACCACTTTGAAGGAATTCTAGAGGGGTAATACGGGAGTTAAAAATTTGAGCTCTTTTAACTCCATAACTGGAGTTAAAATAATACCCTTTGAGGGGTTACAGGCATTCGCAAGCTAATCAGTATTCAAAAGTAACACCACGTAAGGGGGGTTAGTGAATCTAACTCCATTTGAGGGGTTACTGGCGTCAAGACTCAAGAGCAAGTCTCACATGATTACATATGGCGTTCAAGTTGATATTTTATAAACAGTTCTGTGAATTTTCCTGTTATATACGAGGAATGAAAGCTTTAAGAATCAAATTATGGATGAAGAACATTTCGAAGGTTAGTTTATCACTTTATCTACCGGTTGTTTGTAGCCCATTTAGCTTAAACGGCGGATATAAGTCAAATTTTCATTCGTTTTGTGAATAACTGAATACAAGTTTTTTAAAAACCTTAAAAATGTTGTTGTACATAAGTGTTCTTTTCAGATTGAAAAAATATTTTGATTGTTCCAATGAATACACAGACTTGCTTAATTGATATTCTGGATTTATCCACCGTTTTATAGACTAAACGCGCTGCGAACAACCGGCCCCTGGGGTCGGCTGTTTAATAGGTGCATCAAAGGCATTTAGCTAAGCTTAAACGGTGGACAGGCAAAAAAATTATAATACATTCTCATTCATCTTGTAAATAATTAAACTTCATCAACTAAATGTGCAGTTCTATGCATAGTTGTTATGTTTAAACAGAGAATATTAGTTTGATTGTAGTCATAAATTTGTTTGATATTTTTTTTTACTTATCCACTGTTCAGGCTATAAACGCCTTTGATACAACCGGCCCCTGAAACAGTAGTTTACAACTTAATTTTTGCCTTGCATGTTCAGTTCCAATTGGACCAATTGGTTCATCACATGGCATTTAGAAGTAATATATTAATCATATTACTATAAGAAAAATCATCAAATGTCTTTACAACTTTGATATTAATAGAGTATGACTTAACCCATTAAGCGCCAGCACTCTCCCCTTGATGAGTAAAATTGTCTGGCGTTACACAGAGTAAAACACTAAAGTAGGGTGCATCAGGGTGCAATGCGACTCAATGGGTTAACTAGACACATAGGCAGATAGGCTTGTTAAAACCCATTAAGCGCCAGCACTCTCCCCATGATGAGTATAATCGTCTGGCGTTAGATAGAGTAAAATACTAAAGTATAGGTACATCAGGGTGCAATGCGACTCAATGGTTAATGAACAATTTAGTAAGTGAATAGGCAATTCCAGCTTTTAGTTTATGCATGCAGGGGATGATGGGAAGTAAAGTATAATATTGCTGTTTATGCTGAAAAATTTCATTAAAAACTGCTGAAACAACTATTTGAGATACACAATTAGATATTTCACTATTTACAAATATAAGCTGTCACTCTGTGTTTCACTGCCGCCAGTTTTTTTAATTTTTTCAGCATAATCAGTGATATCATACCTTACTCCCGTCAACCTCTGCACGCATAAACTAAAAGCTGGAATTGCCTATTCCAACAAGTGTGATAGAGCATCAGATGGTGCTGGTATACTCAGTACTGACAGTTATCAAAATGAGAAAATGATTTATATGCTTTCCAAGATGTATTACCGGTCATTATTTATGGCAAACTGAAAAATAATACTTGCTTTAGGTGTGGTGGCCAAAAAATCTTGCATGCAGAGGTGGGGTAAAAAAATAACCTTACTTTAATCACACACAATACAATATAATATATACTACCATCAGAGTTTAATATGTGATTATTCTAATTTTTTAACAAAATATTGCTTTCCAAAATGTTGACAGAAACACCTCCCTCAACCCACCCGTAAAGGGTCATTTTTATATTCATTTACACACAAAATCTCCAAAGACTCCAATTACCAGACAAAATATTATACTGCCTATATATACAGTAGGGGCTGTTTATATGGTGCAACTGCAAGCCAACTCCAGCTAGGGTACTCAAGTTGGCCAGTTTTGGCAAAATCCTGCCTTTGTAACTGTTATTTCTTACTAAAGTTCACCTTGT